TTGAAGAAAACGACACATTTGGAGTATATCGTATTTTTCGACCGGAAGGAAGCGTTCACTCAGGCTAAAAAGTAGACTTTCGTGATCAGCTCTATGAATAATCTATAGCTCTATCAAATGATGTAAAAAGAAGACGAAAAAAAAATTTTACTCGAAGTTTGAATTGCCCGCACCTTATATAATGTTTCCTTCTCATAGGACGATCGTTTGATCATAATTTAGGTGCACAATGCGGCATATTTTGATTTGCTCATTAGCATTACTTATTAATGTTAATCAATATGTATTGTTAGATCAAACGTATGTCTTGCATTTGTTTTTTATTTAGAAATTATTTAACTTTTGTCTATATTTAGAAAATGTAACACTGTAAGTTTTAATAAACCTTTTCAATTATCATCGTCATGTTTTCAAGTTTATAATACGAAATTTAAATCAATTATCGGTTCGAAACCTTTACTTAAATTATTAGCTAAACGAAGTATTCATTTGCTCATGAAGGAGGTGTTTGGTTACCACAAACAAATTCGATATTATTTACAAGTAATAGACAAGGTGATTTAAACACAAGTAATCAATGGATTGATATTTATACAATTAATCTTTATGATGGACGTGTTAAAAATATAACAGGAGAACTAACACGTTTAAATGGTCATCGTCATCTAATGGCAAATGGTGGTACTGGTAATTATAATAGAAAATCGATTCTTCTTTGTTCTCAAGGTTATCGTTCTAATGGTGGTTCAATTATTGAAATAACGCATGATTTTAATCGTCTTGTACCAATTATAACACAATATAATAATTTATCATTAAATAGTCCAAATGATGTTATTATTTCAGATAAAGATCAATCAATATGGTTTACTGATCCACAATATGGTTTTATGCAGAACTTTCGTTATGGTCAACCTCAATTAGATAATAATGTTTATAGATTTGATATAAATGGAAATATTCAAATATTAATTAATGATCTTGTTAGGCCAAATGGTGTTGCATTTAATTCAGAAGAAACAATTTTATATGTTACAGAGAGCGGTTATGCTCTTGGAAACGGTTCGATTAATTCACAAGTACCACGTGCTATTTACTCTTATCAGATATATCGTCAACGATATAAAAATATTTATCTTTATAATAAACGTTTATTAACACATGTACAACCGGGAATACCGGATGGAATTAAAGTTGATCAAAATGGTTATTTGTATGTTGGTTGTGGCGATGGAGTACAAATATTCGATGATAATGGTGCACTATTAGGGAAAATAATTCTACCAAACTCAAAATCTGGCGTTGCCGGTCTTGTTTTAGCTGGCAAAAAATTAGTTATGCTAGCTGAAACAGAAATCTGGACAGTTGATTTACGCTGTCATAAATGTAAAACAACATTATTGTAAAATTCATAATGACACCTCAACTTGTTCAGGTACGGCCAGTTAACGCTTATAAACGTTTAGCTTTTGATTCATGATTATTTTCTTTAGTTTTTCTTTAATATAAGTTGAAATCATATCATACACAGTTTTCAATTGTTCATAATTTTATTCATGTGATTTAAGACTTTTATATTTGCGACAAACATATTCTTGTTTTGTATTATAACTCGTAAAGAAAAAGCTTGTTTTGGAGTACGACAGAGGCCAGATTACAATGTTACCGCAAAAATAAAAATTGAAGCGATTTGTGTACTACAATTATTGGATCAAAAAAATGCTCAACATATAGTTATCGTTCACATTGCATGCTCGAAATATATTAACCTCGATTTAGCTTCAAATACTCGTCTTTTATCGTCTGCAGATCAGGTTGCTTTCTACAAGAATGCATTTAAACTGGAAGCAACACTAAAATTGTATTTAATTGATAATACAGAATTTGAACAAGCAAATTTTAATTGAAAGAAGGAGCACACTGAAAATCTGTGCCGTACAATAATGCAGCTGAAATAAAGCTGGACAAGTCAGAGGCTTTATAAGTCACAAATCGAGGCAAGTCACTAAAAATTTTTCAAGTCAAGTCATCCCTCGAAATTTTTTCCTCCAATTCAAGTCAAATCTGATTAAAAAATAGGCAGAACATAAAATTTACTAGCGTCTTTTGAGTGAGAGACAGGTCTTTTTAGTTTCAAAAACTCCGTTTCATGGTAAAAAATGCCTAATTTGAACGAAAATCTCTTGCAGATAGTAGAAATAAATTGAAAATTTGTTCAAGTCCGGTCACGTTCACGAAAAAGATCCTTCAAATCAAAACTGCTACTGGTTTCGAGAAATAGTAGTTTTAAGTTGTTCTCAAATTCGTGACTCACACTCTACGGACATTTACCAAAGATCACGATTCTGGACGCAAAGAGCGTCTTTTGCTGCTTTCAAGAGCTCATTGATATTCTAGAACAGCTTCAGCCTTTTGTTATTAGATAAATAATTGCTTAGCTTCTTATTTATATGACAAATGTACGTACGTTGGTTTTTATACAACTTTACAGGAACTTCGTTACGACTGAGCCAGATAATAGATCGGAACATCGCCTGGCTATAACAATCCTTTTTTGTTGTAACAACAATTCTTTTGCTGCGACCATAAGGGTCGTAAAAAACGTTCCTTTTAAAAGTTTGATGTTTTCGTGAATACATGTCAATCATTTTTTGTACTCAACATTTTTCAGAAAAGTTTAAGAAAAAAAGTTATTTTAAAATAAGTAAAATTTTTCAAAAAGTAAAAGTTGTACCTTCAAAGTAATTTTTTCCTTAAATTTCCATGAAAGGCGTTGGATCCAAACAATGTACATCGTACAATTCTGAACATCTTGCCTTCCGGATAAACATTTGTTGATTGAACAATAGATGTTTCCTTCATTGCGTTGTAAACATATGTTCAAGAATCTGTGCAGATAAAAAAGTTTTCGGTTATCAGTTATGATCGATTTCGAATAATCGGTTAAAAACCGAAAGTGATGCATGCCAAGTTTACTTATGTTCATTTCTTTAATTA